AATTCACAAGGAGTGGTAATAATAACACTTGAAGTCACACCAAAAATCTCACTCTGAACAAGTTGTGTTCAAGGCTGTGAACGGGGCTGCGTTCAAACCCTGACCATGCTCAGAAGGCAACTAAAGCAATTATTTGCACTGAGGTCAAAACCACCTCATCTCTCTGGTGGTGGAAGCTTCTCTGAGTGCCCAGGAGATCCACAGCTCCCTGTTTTACCCAGGAACAGCACAGCCCTCCTTGGCCTCTTCCCTCCATGCCCAAAGGCGAGCTTTGGCTTGCAGTTGTTTCTATTTGCATGAGATAATTTTAACTGGCAATTCTAGAAAATATTCTGCACAGCTGCATTTAAATTTCACCTCGTGGACCTCATACAACTAATTTGTACAGGATCCACTTCAGCCCCTGGTATCCCAACCTGGGCACTACCCTAGGAAAAAACGGAGCTAGACCAAAAAGCTCTGATTTTCTCCCAGTTCTGTGAGGCAGGATAAATGTGGCACAGCCTCTTCACCTGTAAAATGGGGACAGCACTCTCCACTTGTAAAGCACCTGGAGATCTGATCTCAGAAATGCAATGTATTTTCAAAAAGGTTAGGCTAAAATACACTGCTCTTTTCACTCTCTAGATAAATGCTTCGTTACACTCTTTGTCCCGCGCTTCCCCGATGATTTTCTTTTCTTCCCCAATTTGCCATTTTGACTAATTCAATTATTTTAGCATATTAAACTCAGACTAATAGAAGAATACAAACCCTAATTACCACCCCACAGGCATGCAGCAGAGCCTACAGAATATTGTACCATTATTTTTATGACTTCAAAAGTAGAGAGAAGAGTACAGATCAAGGCAGCATGGCAAATACTCACTTTTTTTTTTTTATATAATTCTCCCTTCTAGTTCTCACTAATTCCACCCACTGGTAATAGCTGAAGGCATACACCCAAATCAGTGACTCATGGCACAAGACCACAGTCCAAACAGTCACTGACTGGGTTCTCAAAGCAGTGCTGTTCAAGAATTGCAGTGTTCCATCCCTGGACCTGAACTGCCTTTGCTTTGCCCCAAAAACCCAATAAATACCTCCCTCCCCCCCCAAAAAAAACTTAACCAAAAACCACCCAAAAGAAAAAACACCAACAAAACCAAAAAACCACCACTGACAACAGGTGCTTCTTTAGTTCTCAGGAAAAAAATTGGAAATAAAAAATTTCCCTCTTGGTGCTCCCAGACATTCCCTGTAGCCCAGCACAGCAGCACAGATGTGAGGCACATTCTTCCCACTCCTGCTTCTTCCCCAGGTAACTCCCCACAACCAGAAACACAAGACAGAACTCTCCAGGCAATTACAGCTCTGAGATTAGCCCACCTCCTCTCCATGTGTTCTGGAAACCTCCAAGGGTTTTAATTCCAACTTTACTTTTTCTAGTCTATGTTTTAAGTAAGAAAGGTTTTCCCAGGTTTTTCAAAGGAGTCATTTAACAGCTGTTTGGGAACCTTTTTTTTTTTTACCTCAATGCCAACCTCCCAGACACATTATTTATAATAGGCTGTCTTTCTTAATACTTGCTATTAGTCAAAAGAGTGCTTAGTAAACACCTTAGCTGTCCAATCTTCACATCCTTTAAATAATGGGGTGGGTTCAGAAGGGATAAGCTCTCAAAGCAGGACTCTGCTCACCTTATAAAGAGCCACAAACACCCTGATACAGCACAATTCCCATCCTCTTCCAGGTTCTATAGCTACTGATTTGTATCTTCAAAGATGCATTAAAATGTGACATGAAAGACCTCCCAGAGAGCACAAGAGAGCATCAGTTATTTGAGTCCTATCCTACCTCCAGTAGGTCTTCCAGCTCTCCAAAACAGGTATGTGCTGGAACACCTAATCCCATGTGGGACTGAACATGTATGTTCAGGACACCCATCACACAAGGAACACTCACATGCCAGGGCTCATCTGCCTGATCCCTGGATTTTTAGTAGAGTTAAATGCCCTGCTGTTAACACCATTTCTAATGTAGGTTAGGTGGTCAGGAGCAAAATGCAAATGTGGGTCTGTGTCAGTTTAATCACTTTTTTTTTTATTCTGATAAGACCTGTCAGTTCAGGTTTCAAGGAAGGCTGGACAAAAGAGGACCATCAACAGAAGGCAAAAAAACATAGCCACGGGAAGGTGAGTGTGGGCTCACCTCTTCAGAAGGAATGTGTGAACTACCTGGACCCCAAATTGAAAAGGGTGTCACCATGGCCAATTCCTTCCTCCTGCAGAAGCCCAAAACACAGGCACTGCAACAAGCCTGGGAGTGTCAGCCACTTTCTCCTGCTTTCCACTAAAACTATAGAAAGGGTTGTGATGCTTCTGTGACCTCTTGTAAAAGAGACAACAAGCATTCACCTTTTGGTGAAGGAGGAGCAGGCAGCAGTGACAGATAAAAGCCTTCCTTTACCTTCTCTCCCTGGGCTACACAAAGCAGTATTAGATTCAATTTTACAGGTCCAACAATGCTCCGTGTGGGTCGGGATAAGGCCCCGGTCCTTCCCTCCCCCACAGCCTCCCCCTGAAACTCCGCGCAGGTTTGCAAGATCAAAGGCAGGCACCTCCATTACCCTCTCTTCCATTTTGTTGGGCAAGAGATACTGCTATTGCACAAAAAAGCGTGTGTGTGCACAGATATAGATATATATATATATTTATATATATATAA